CTCCTGATGAACGAAGCAAAACAAACCATCCTACGAAGCATTATCCAAACCATTGTCCAAAGTGATGAACACCAAAATTATTAATAGTCAATGTTAAGATTGGATGAACAAAAACAAAATCTCCTGTGATGAATGGAATCGGCTGAAGAAATCACAAGAACAAATCATCAAATTAAATATTTTGAGGCGGTGAGTGGGACTCCTGAGAGCAGATCTGGACTTCGAGCAAATTCGACGGTGACGGCGAACCAAGAACACAAACACGGTCAGATCCGAAATTCGAAGCAGTGTTCCGTCCAACAGATCCGTCCGTCCAGCATCGCCGGAAGTTCCCTCCGTCCGGAAGTTCCCTCCTTCGCCCGGCAGATCCGTGAGCCTCATCCTGCAATCCTATTCTTTGGCATCAAATATGGATCCTTTGTTACTCTTGCTAATTTTTGGGTAAAGCGATGGCAATGCCGCCGTCGCCGGACAAACCATCGGCGACGGCGACAGCAGAAGCAACAAATTAGAACAAATTAGGGTTTAGATTCCCAGGTTGGCTCCGATACCATGTAGAAATATTATTAGATCTAAACTTGAATAATTTGATTATACATAGATCCGCTATTTATAATAGCTACAAGACCATGACCTAAGTACGAGCCTAACAAGAATAAACCCGTTAACGACAAACCCTATTACATTCCTTAACAGAAATACACGTGTGGCAAATATTTAGGCACGGATGGAGTAAAAGGTAGGGAGTAAAGTTTATTAAAAGACGGGATGGATGTATTGACTACGGAGTACTCCCTCCGTCCCATTTTAAATTGCCTGTTTGCCTTTTTTTTCGTCCCAAAATAAGTTGCCTGTTAGTTGTTTTCGTAAACTTTTAAAAATAAAATACCTAAACTACCTCTAAAATAAGTCACACTTCTTCACCTTATCTTCTCATTCATCATCACCCCTCTTAAAAAGTAATGTCAATTTCGGAAAATCAACTCTATTTTTTATTTTCCTTAAATATGTCAAAAATCAAAACAGGCGATTTAAATTGGGACGGAAGGAGTATTATTTTTATTTCCCGTGAAAGTTAAACAAATAAAGCACAAGTTTGGCCGGTTTGTCAACATTTCCACGGTAAAATACTGCTCTGCAAATCGATAGGGTGAAAAGTATGTGAAAAATTGTTCCTCCATCCGAAAATAAGTTTTCTACTACGTATTTTCTTTCGAAAAGAAATTGTTTTTACTCTTTTTAATTCAATGTTTCAACATTAAACTTATACTTTTACATTTTTTCTTTGAGAAAATAAAAACGTGACTCTTTTGATTTTTCTATTTTAAATACAGAGTATATTTCTGCCGCACAAAATTATTTTTCACCAAATATTTTTCATATATTTCTTAAATCTCATGAAATATAAGGGCAAAATTTCATTTTTGGTGCGAATATACGAACCATGAGAAAAAGCTTCAAAAAAATCTCCTTTTAAATGGAAGGGGGATCTTTTGCAAATAAAATACTAAAAATAGGGAGTATTTAATTTTCAGGAATGATTTAAACAAAAAAAATAGATGAGGCAAGAGTAAAAATGGTTTCGTTTAAAGAGACAACAAATGTATTTAAGCCAAAAAAAACATGTGTCTTGAAAAAATATATCTCTCTTCTCCATGATTATCGTATTTTTTCTTTTTTTTTAATTGTCGGTGGATGTTGCGCAATTGGTAAGGCAAGAGTGTCATGGGGTAAGACCCGAGTTCGGTTCCTGGCAACTGCGCTGGGAGGAAACAAGTATCAGGTGCAGGCTCCACTATATACTACCAATATGTGATTAAAGTCTAATTTACACTCTCTCAGTGACCCCTCCGGCCTGGTATGAAGGGACTCTCGGGAATAGGGCTCATCATTTTTTTCTTGTAGTTAATGAAGTTTGCTTATAACAATAGTTATCAAGCTAGCATCTAAATAGCTTCGTACGAAGCAGTGTATGGAAGGCATTGTAGAACTCTAAACTATTGGATAGAATTGAGCAAACAAATACTTGAGGGACCTAACTTAGTTCGTGAAAATGAAGAAAACGTTTGATTGATTAGAGAAAGATTGCAAATGGCTTTCGATCAACAGAAATCCTATGCCGACTTAAAGAATTGAGAGATTGAATACAACATGGATGACATGGTGTTTCTGAAAGTTTTACCATGGAAGAAGGTACTCGAATTTGGCATTAGGGAAAACTTAGTCCAAGGTATATTAGACCCTACTGAATCATTGAACGTGTAGGATCAGTAGCATATCAGTTGAAACTTCTGTCAGAACTAAATAAAATTCACGATGTATTCCACATCTCTATGTTGAAACGTTATCACTCTGTTCCATCGCATATACTACCCGATGGAAGTGTGACCCTTGATGAATGTTTGACGTATGAAGAATAACCCGAGACTCTAACACGTGAACTGAAAGAGCCGAGAAACAAATCCATTTCATTGGTCAAAATACTTTGGAGAAACCATTATACTGAAGATACAACTTGGGAAACTGGGGAATCAATGAGGACTCAGTGCCTAATCTCTTCAGCAACCAATAACTCAGATAAGTTTGAGGACAAAATTATTTGAAGGGATAGAGAAATGTATTGCCCCGAAAAATAGGTCTATGGAAATTACTTAATTAATAATTAATTAATAACTGGGCAGGATAAAAAATAAGTAATTTATGAAATTTATCAATTAATTTTGAAAAATATATCGTTGTGTAGAGTTTGACTGTCTAATCACAGCAATATAATTGTAATTTAATTTGGAGAACGTTGGACTAAAAAGTGTACCCTGATTGAGACCATTGTAGTATGGTGTTCATCGGAAGTTTCGTTTGAAAATTGACATTTCTCCCATTTAAGCTCGAGGAAAGCCATTAGATATATCTAGTGATTAGAATGTTCAAATAGATCGTTTTTACATTCATAAACGGTCACTTGGTTGAGCCTTGTGTTAGACATTGTTGATGAACCAAAAATTATAAATCTTCAAATTGTTGTCAAAACTTCAAATTAATGGTATAAAAATGATCTGTTAATGTTAGAGAATATTTTTATATGGTTTGATTGAAGTTTAATATTTTAAAATGATATTTTCGAAATTTGGACCGAGGTTGAAGATGACCAGTTACAGAACGGTCGACTACCGTGTGGAACGGGAAACCGTACCTCAACCAGTTGGCTTTCTAGTAAGTTACCAGGAACGGTCAATTGCCCACGATAACGGTCGATCGTCCCAAACCTAGTTACACGGAGGTGGTAACTGTTGATCGTAGCACGGTAACGGTCGACCATCACATGTCATTCAAATGCCGGAAAACTCAATTTTGAAGTTGTAAAATCATATTTTTACTACTATTCAACTATAAATTAGTGTGAACACCATTTCCAACTTATATATGTTGTTTTGATAAACTCAATAACTTTATTTGATGCATATGAATTGGCATTAGAACAACTTTTTTTTCCTTGAAAAAAAAGAATAGTTGAGAATTGTTGATACCATTAATGCTGAAAGATTAAAATGAATATTATGTGCATAATATCAAATGATTTGGTTAAGAATTTTGATTCAATTTATGTGAATGTTCGATGCATGAGATATCGTTACTCAGCTTCATCACTGAGTGCGTAGTATGTTTTATTTGCTACACGCAGGTAAACAAAATAAAGAATGATGCGGCATTGAGCGTGATAACAAATGAGAACGAGATGTCAGACGAATGTGTGATGATTACCAACTCTTGAATAAGTATTTCAAAAATGAATTATTTATATTTTATGATTGTGTTGCGAAACAATTATTTTAAACTCCTGCAAATGTGATAAACTTCGTTATTGTTCTGAATATTTTATTATGGTGAAATAAAGTTTGAGATGCTTTAAAGTTTATGATTTTGTCAAGTTAGTACTTTAGTCCGAAAAGGATTACAGACCGAAACGAATTAAAGTGTTACAGAAAGAGAGTTAATATTGACTACATATTTGTTTTCTTAAAAGAAAAGAGGAAGAAAATTTTGAAACAATCCAAATAGAAAAGAAGAAAGATAATTAGGCGAATAACTTTGTTGCCTCATATGCTTTGAAAATAAGTGCCAACGCCCCTCCCCTTTTTTTCTCTATTGTTTTTATATTTTATTTATTTTTTTTATAAAAAGAAGAAAATATTTATGTATGAAATAATGAAAAATTATTTTTTCAAACCTACATTTAAAAAAAGTTTTTAAAAATATAAAAATATTTCTGTTTGAAATAAAAAATGAAATAAAAGATTTAACATAGACTTCATTTGTCAAATTAAATATTTTTATTTTTTGTCTAAAAAAGTTTTTATCTTTTTGAATATGTTGACACCAAAAAAATACTGAGTAATGTTTTTAATATATAATTAATGATATACTCCGTAATAGTAACATTTTTTCGGACCAATGCGTAAAAGAATTGCTTCATAACTTAATTTTCCCTATTCCAAAAAAATAATCTTTTATATTCTTTTATTTTTCTTTATTTTCATTTATATTCTCTCTTTTTTATTTTATTTTATTTTCATTTTGAATAATTGACATCAACCAAAACATGGGTTATGTAGAGGGGTTATTTTTTCGATATATACTACTCCGTATATAGCATGTACCTTAGGTAGTGGTGCTTTATTCTTTTGATTTGACCCACGAATTGACCACTGCCGGGCGTCCCCATCTGACTGGCGGACTCCAACTCTCTTATTCCAATCCACTTCGCCGCGCCCCTTTTAAATCCGCCACGCCCCCGCTTTACCTCCTCTGCCGGTAACCCGTCTTCTCCTCCAATTCAACCGACCCAACCCCACCGGCCTAATTTTCTAAACTTTTCAAATAAATAAAAAAAGAAACCTTTCATTTCACTCTCATTTGCATTTGCATTTCCATTTCATTTCCCCCCTTCCTCTCTCTCTCATAGGTCTGTCACTTTCTCCCTGTCCTCTTGTCTCACAGTTCCCCCCCATCCCCTTTCTCTCTCTACCTATACGTACATATCGCTGTATATATACACGCTAGCGCCCTGAAATTCCTTCCCAGCCGTTGTTGGAGTTCGAGAGACAAAGCGGCGAGAGTGATCCACATCGGGAGAGATTCCCCTGTTTCCGCAACCGCTCCAAGTTCTTCCTTCCTTCCCCGTCTCTCCTTTGGATCTGTGATAACTCTCTGCTTTCTAAATCGATTATCGGTATGTTCGTTTCTGATTACCATATTTGCTTGCTTCGTCTTCGATGTTTGTTTTGTGGATTGTGTTCTTAATCGCCGTCCCGAGCTTTGTTTTTGTTTGGTTTAGATTCGAATTATGAACTCAGATTGAACTGCAGCAGTAAAGTTGAATGTTAGTTTTTTTTTTCCTTTGATTAACTTTATCTTTTTGGTATTATAAACTGCTATTTGTCTTGGCTGAGAGAATAATTAAAGTGGAGATGGTCGAATCAGAATGATTTCCTTAGCAGAGAGAATATGCGGCTTTGAAATTTGATGGGGTTAATGATTTAAATTTACTTTTTCTGGAATATGGTAATTGTTGCTCCCTTTAATGTTTCAAAGCGTGAGATCTATGCTGTAAGGGTGAATTGTTGGTTTGCGTTGACCAGCTATGGATATATGTGGTTTATTTTCCTTTTTTGGTCAGATCCTTGTTAGGAAAGTTTTCAGCGAGTAGTGGCAAACGATCATTGAGATCTGATGGTTTTGGATTAGAAACTTTTCTAGCTTATCACTTGTTTTGTTGGCTATCAGGTGACTGAAGCATGTGCAGTGGACCAGAACAATCCAATTCTAGTTCCAGTTTGGATGACATGAACAAACGTGGCTTACAGTCTGATGATCACTCTTCGAGTCTACTTGAGCTTGCTGCTAACAACGACTTGGGTTCTTTCAGACAGTGTATTGAGTCTGATTCTTTTGCAGTTGACCTTGTTGGACTGTGGTTAGTCCGCAAGAAGGGGGCGAAACAGGTTGTTCGTGAAGAAAGGACTCCATTAATGGTTGCTGCCACTTATGGAAGCATTGATGTCTTGAAGCTGATCCTCACTCGGCCCGAAGTGGACGTGAACCGAACTTGTGGGCCCGACAAGTGCACCGCCCTTCACTGTGCCTCGTCGGGTGGTTCTGTTAGCGCGGCCGAGGTTGTTAGATTGCTTATATCAGCTGGGGCTGACCCAAACATTGCTGATGTTAACGGTCTGCGGGCGGCTGATGTCATATCTGTCCCTCCGAAGCTTCCGGGAGGTAGAGCATCTATCGAGGAACTGTTGTCGATTAATATATCTGAGGGTTCGGTTGGTGGGAGTGATTCGGGCGTGTCAAATGCGTCCTCCCCGGTCCTATCTTCATCCCCCGAGACAGGGTCTCCATGTTACATGAGGGAATCGAAGAAGGAATACCCCATTGACCCGTCTCTACCTGACATCAAGAATGGGATATACTCCAGTGATGAGTTCCGGATGTTTTCCTTCAAGGTCAGACCATGTTCTCGGGCATATTCCCATGATTGGACGGAGTGTCCATTTGTTCACCCGGGAGAGAATGCGCGTAGAAGAGATCCTAGGAAATACCATTACAGTTGCGTGCCATGTCCTGAATTTCGTAAGGGTGCGTGTAGGCGTGGGGATATGTGTGAATATGCTCACGGGGTGTTTGAGTGTTGGCTACACCCAGCCCAGTACCGGACCCGCTTATGCAAGGATGGTACCGGGTGTGCCAGACGAGTGTGCTTCTTTGCACACACTCCGGAGGAGCTTCGGCCACTCTATGTCTCTACGGGATCTGCTGTCCCATCCCCTAGGACTGTTGCTGCCACTGCTAGTATTATGGACATGGCTGCTGCCTTGAGTCTTCTGCCTGGGTCCCCCACAGCTGGTTCAATCCCACATTCGCCTCCCGTCAGCTGGTCCCCACACCAACCAAACGTTCCCACACTTCATCTCCCCGGAAGCAACCTTCAGTTAAGCCGGCTAAGGTCCTCTTTCAATGCGCGAGAGAATTTCGATTCCAACCTTGGCTGTTTTTCACCTTCACTGACTCGCCCTAAAACTCTACTAACCCCGTCGAATCTCGATGATCTTTTTTCTGCTGAGCTCAACTCCCCATCACATAAAGCTGCCGTGTTTAATCAGTTCCAACAGCAGCAAAGAATGCTTTCCCCAATCAACACCACTACCACCTCGGTATTCTCTCCTAAAAACTCCGACCACCACTCTCTTTTGCAGTCTCCGTTTGCGGTCTCATCCCCGGGAAGAATGTCCCCCAGAAGCGGCATGGACCCGTTATCCCCAATGAGCGGGCGGCGTGGGTCCCACACGGGCAAGTCTTGGTCAAACCTGGGGTCTTCTCTCGACACAAACATTGACTGGTCAGTCAACGGTGATCATAAGCTGTGGCATGCCGGAAGCTCTGAAGATAATGGGAAGTCAGGGCCTGATTTGTCATGGGTGCAATCTCTCGTCAAGGAACCACCCCATGAGATGAACGCCAAGCCATTGTTGCAGGCCCTTGGCGGTGCTCCTCCACCCGGCGAGGGTTTGAAATCCGCCGGTTCTCAAATTGATCCCATCGATTATTCTGTCTTGGGAGCTTGGCTCGAGCAGATGCAACTCGATCAACAGCTCGTAGCCTGAGAAAACACCATTCGTTTATTATTGTTGTTATAATATTACAATTACTATGTTTTTGCATTTTGACAAAAAACTAATTAGGGGAAGCGAAGTAGACATATAGTGGCGGCGCTATTCTTTTGCAGCTAGTTTTTTTTTTGCTGTGGCGGGAAGGAAGCAAAAGAGCGAAGCTATAAATGGCGAAACCGACGCAAAAGGTATCATGAAGTTCTTAGTTCTTACTACTACTAGTACTACTACTAAATTGATAGATTTCAATCTTTTATTTCATTAAAATCAAATGTCAAGAAATTGTCATCTGGACTGTATTCAAGAAATCATGTCCAGATCGCACAGTTTGTGTAATCTGTCATTTCTGTAATACTACACAAATTCCATTCCCCTTCTTACATGGTACACATCTCCTCTAGGTGTAGTGTAATAACTGAAAAGCTTCTGTATTTTGATGATGTTATTTTTCACTAAATTCCCTCGTAATTACTTTTGTACTTGGGGTAGAAACTTGTAATATGAATCCTGTTTTTATATTCCTTTTGTTGCTATAAGAGAAAGCTGAATGGGGCTCACATGCTATTTCTACACGAGGAATGTATCGCATTTGCACCGTCACTTTGATGGTCGTTCGGGCTCAAAATGCGAGTGCAATCAAAAAATTTTGCGTTAGTATTTTGTGTTGGAGTGAATCATCACAATGACGGTGCAAACTTCTGGTGTCCAAGATGGGTATTTTCCTTGGTGTAGAAGTAACTTTTCATTTGAATTCAACCATGTTACTTCTACACTCCTGGAGTGTATCCCATTTTGTACATTAGAGTTTTGCACTGCGAATTTGATAGTTTATATTGATTCAAAATGCTATAGTGATAAAAAATGTGTTTTGTATCAGTATGAATTATCAAAATAACGGTTTAAAGAAGTGATGTACAAAATGGGCTAAAAAGGCATTAGGGACATACCAAAGTAAGAACGCAGGGAGCGAAGGCAAAAAAGACAACAATTTGTAGTGGTTTTGCTACCCTTACCCATGGGTTAAGGGTTCTATTTAAGGTTGAAAGGAAAATAAAAGAAGTTGAAAGAAGATATACGAAAATAGAATTGTTGGTATAACCGAAAATAGTTTGGAATAAATTGAAATTAGTTGAAAAAATAATTGGGATAGATTTGAAATTAAATTTTTCATCCAAAAGAACATGTTCTTACTTTAAGAAAGAACTACTATTTACCTAAGATTAAAACATGTCTCTTATACAAAATTTTCCAAATTTAAAAAAAAATAGAAGACCAAAAATCAAAATTCAAGCGGCACAAATAAAAGCCGCAGTAGTTTTTTTTTTTAAATACAAGCTGCAAAAATAGTTTAAAGTGGATCATACAAGTAGAAAACGGCATATATACTTGCAAATTTTATGGTAGACCTTAGGTACCATAGATCTACATATATACAAAATAAACATTTTTTACTATTTAAATAGAAATCTTTTTAAGGGAAAAACTTAAAAAAAGAGTTTTGTATGTGAGAAAGTCCACAAAAGCACTTGATATACTCTCTTCGTCTACAAATAAACTTTACGTTCACTATTCACATGGTCAAACTTTATTTACTTTGTTTGTCTATTTTCGTCACCCATTTGATAAAATAATATAGTTATGTCACCTCTAGTTTTGTAGATTTTTGGATATAGTTTTTTAATATGTAATTTTTATTTTTCAATTCTACACCATTTTTCATATAAAATGATTTGAAAATAACTTAAGTCAAACATCGTAACGCGTAATGTAAAGTTTATTTGTGGATGGAGGTATTTCACATTGGATCTTGAAGAGAAAATAAATTGCTATATAAGCTCTTTAGTTATACACTCTCTGTCCTAAAACTATCTTCCCAGTTACTATTACACGGTCAAACTTAAATCACTTTCTTTATCTATTTTCGTTGCTTATTTGATAAAATAATATAGTCTTATCAACTCTCGTTTTGTAGAATTTTTGATGTAGTTTTTAAGTATGTAACTTTTATTTTTTAATTTTACTCCTACAATCAAATAAATTAAATTGAAAATAAAGTGATTTTAGGACGATAGCGAGTACTAAATAATTGATTGAATTCAATCTTTTAATGCGATTCAGTTTGAGTTTCATACTGCCCAATTCAATTGTCACTATATCATTTTAAATTCTATAAAGCTCCATAATCTCTAATCCCTATCAAAGCCAACCCAATTTGTGAAGTGACCATCCCTCCCAAAGAATAGATATGAACGAGAGGTTCCTCAATCACAAATTATATTCCCTGGGCTAGGCATGTTAAGGAAAGAAAGAGAGGCTTTGTTTCGTGGGAAGCCTAGCTGCCACGAAAAGCAATATTTATGAGTTAATTATGAAAAGTTTATGGGAGGGCTACTTGATGTTTTACATTGATGAATTAATTAAGAAATTTTTTAGACTAAGGGTGTGTTTAATTGGGGG